CCAGGGCAGCCAGTACATTAACCGAAAGGGCTACTTTTCAATGGTACTGCAAGCACTGGTGGACCACAGGGACGTTTTACCAACATCGTCGGATGGCCAGGCAAGGTTCATCACGCTCACGTTTTCAGGAATTCTGGTCTGTTTAGACGGCTGCAGGAAGGTATTTACTTCCCGGACCACAAAATAACTGTTGGGGATGTGGAGATGCCTATAGTGATCCTCGGGGACCCAGCCTACCCGCTAATGCCCTGGCTCATGAAGCCCTATACAGGTGCCCTGGACAGTGAAAAATAACTCTTCAACTACCGGCTGAGCAAGTGCAGAATGGTGGTGGAGTGTGCTTTTGGACGTCTCAAGGGGAGATGGAGAAGCTTACTGACTCACTCTGATCTCAGCGAAACCAATATCCCCATTGTTATTGCACCTTGCTGTGTGCTCCACAATCTCTGTGAGAGCAAGGGGGAGACATTTATGGCAGGGTGGGAGGTTGAGGCAAATCGCCTGGCTGCTGATTATGCCCAGCCAGACAGCCGGGTGATTAGAAGAGCCCAGCAGGACGCGCTGTGCATCTGGGAAGCTTTGAAAGCTAGGTTCCAGAGTGACCAGGGTAACCTGTGACTATTACGTTACCTGAACCTGCCCCCGTTTCTTTACCCACTTAATGTTGACTATCCTCTCCAGTTACCAACTCCCTTCCCCCCCTTCCACCACATCTTTAAAAATAAAATAAATGAAACTTTGTTCATTAACACCGTTTTCTTTATTAAGGATTTCACGGTAAAGGGTTGAAACTGGGACGCAGACTGTGGTGGGGAGTGGGTGTAGTGATGGAAAGGACGCTTCCAAACTCGAGGAATGACAGGCTCCTGCTCCTAGAGCGGTCCGCAGTGGTGGACTGGTTGTTTCAACAGAGCCTGCCACCCCTCCTTCTTGGGACTTTGGGTGGGGGGGGTTGGGACTTTGTGGCGGGGGAGGGCGGTTAGAGATAGAATGCAGCGGGGCTCTGTCCTCCTGCCTCCGGTCCTGCAGAACATCTACAAGGCGCCGGAGCATGTCCGTTTGCTCCCTCATTAGTCCAAGCTGCGTTTGAGTCTCCTGCTGGTCTTCCTGCCGCCACCTGTCCTCCCGTACGCTGTGTGATTGCTGGTATTGCGACATGTTCTCCCTCCACTGGGTCTGCTGTGCCGCCTCGGCTCGGGAACAGACCATAAATTCTGAGAACATCTCGTCCCATGTCCTTTTCTTTCGCCGCCTGATCTGCGCCAGCCTCGGGGAGGGGGATGCCGGGGTACCTCGGGAGACACTCGCAGCTGTGGGATGGGAAATAGGGAGTGAATTCCTCAACAAGATACATTTTTGCAAACAATGAATATAGTCTTTCTCTGTGAACAAGACCATGCACAGTACCTATCACATGTGCACTCAGTACAAGGTCAAATTTTCTGTCTTCACATTGAGTGCCTGGGGTCTTGCTGTACAGATCACACAAGCGGGGCCGGACAATGGAATTCTGCTAGCAGGCGGCCATGGTAAGCCGTAGACTTTGGGCTGCTTAAAGCTTAATTTACAGCAGTGCCCTCCTTTCTTGTTCTAAGTAATGCTCCTAGCATTGGCCAGTTCCTGCTGCCGGCGATCCGGCCAGCATGAACTCTGTCCCTGTCCCACCCCTGTCGTGGCTGTCCCCGGGAAAGATCCCTGCATGCTGCCGGCAAACCACTCAGCATGAACGGTTTGCCTCCCCGCCCCCACTGCGTGGCTGTAAACCGCCGGTTACAGTTATTTAAAGGAACAGGCAATCAGTCCCCATACTAAAATTCCCCTAATTCAAAGCAGGTCACCATGAGTGATATCACTCTTATGAGGATTACGGAGACAGAGAAAGACCGCATGCTGCGTGAATGCCAGCAAACACCAGGGCCGTATGCCGCCATGCTTTGCCAGGCAATGATACCAGAGTACCTGCTGCTAGCCTGGCATGGAAAAGTTTCCTACCATGGAGGAGGCAATAAGGCCGCTCTCCCCAGGAACCTGATGCAAAGGCTTTCACATTACCTCCAGGAGAGCTTTGTGGAGATGTCCCTGGAGGATTTCTACTCTATGTTAACAGACTTTTCCAGTAGCTGCACTGGCAAGGACTAAAAAGTTAAGCGCCTAGGGCAAACTAATCATTAAAAATCCATTGCTAACATACCATGCCTATTCTATTCAAAATAAATGTTTAAAACACTTACCTACTGATGTTTCCCCTGATTCACGGTCTGGGTTACCGCCTTGGGAGGGTTGGTAGGGGATCTCCATGAGGGTGATGAAGAGATCCTGGCTGTCGGGGAAATCAGCATTGAAAGTGCTGTCGACTGCCTCCTCCTCCTCATCTCCTTCCTCATCTTCCCCGTCCGCGAACAGCCCCGAGGAAGCGGCCATCGACATCCCCCATCGTCAGAGTCCACAGACAATGGTGGGGTAGTGGTGGCAGCCACACCTAGAATGGAATGCAGTGCCTTGTAGAAACGGCATGTCTGGGGCTGGGATCCGGAGTGTCCGTTTGACTCTTTGGTCTTCTGGTACGCTTGTCTCAGCTCCTTGATTTTCACGCGGCACTGCGTTGCATCCCGGCTGTATCCTCTCTCCATCATGGCTTTTGAGATCTTCTCATAGATGTTCACATTCTGTCTTTTCGATCGCAGCTCTGAAAGCACGGACTCATTGCCCCACACAGCGATCAGATCCAAGACTTCCCAATCAGTCCATGCTGGGCCCTCTTTCTATTCTGAGATTGCATGGTCACCTCTGCTGGAGAGCTCTGCATCGTTGCCAGTGCTGCTGAGCTCGCCACGATGTCCAAACAGGAAATGAGATTCAAACTGGCCAGACAGGAAAAGGAATTCAAATTTTCCCGGGGCTTTTCCTGTGTGGCTGGTCAGAGCATCAGAGCTCGGACTGCTGTCCAGAGCGTCAACAGAGTGGTGCACTGTGGGATAGCTCCTGGAGCTATTAGCGTTGAATTCCGTCCACACTAACCCTAATTTGACATGGCCATGTCGAATTTAGCGCTACTCCCCTCCTCAGGGAGGATTACAGAAATCGATTTAAAGAGACCTCTATGTCGAAATAAATAGCTTCGTTGTGTGGACGGGTGCAGGGTTAAATCAAATTAACGCTGCTAAATTCAACATAACCTCCTAGTGTAGACCAGGCCTAAGAAATGATTCATTCAGGAGTACAGCAGCAAACAGGGTTTACTTGTTAAATGATTGTTTCCCCAAAATAATTGTGCCACAACTATCAAAAGGCATTCTCTGAGGTACATGCAGCCAATTAAACAGAACTTGTGAGGCTATCTATCATAGTGCCATCCAATAACAGACAGGCTAAATATAATCTAGTCAGTCCCAACCTTTTAGATGAGTTAGAAGATAATTATTTTTTTGAAATGTTAATTAACAGTCCTTCAGATGTAACACCAAAATACAAGGAAGCTATGTTTTCTGTGCAATAGTTTAAGCTTCTCCAAATGACACGGCTCTAAAGACATCAGAAACAGCGGATAAGGAGGCAGTTTGGTTTACATTTTCTTTTTACACTGTGTTGGGATGGAGCTAAAATCCATTGTGCATACAAAATGATATTATCCTTATAGCTACTTTGTGTCAGCCAAGCCATATGGACTGTACATTTGAAGTCTGACCTCTGTTCGGGTTATATTTTCATAAAATTTAAAAAACAGCGGGATCTTTTCCTTTTGTTTATCTATTCCCTTGTTCAAATAAAAGAAGTTGAAATAATATGAAACATGTCAAGTTGTGTTATCAGTTGGACCAACTTACATAGCCCGAGAACTATTCTAAGTATTTAGAGTCTTTAATTAGTATGTTTTCATAACTGGACATTTCTAATCTCCTTGGACTTTCAAGCAGATGTTTGTGAATTAAAATCATTCTGTTTCAAAAGAAATCACTGGGCTTATTATAATATTTAAGGAATATGTTCCTTTTGATCACAGTACTGTGACATAACTCAGACATCATTGTTTGTGCTATTTCTCTAACACCAATGAAAGATGATACCATTCTGGCACTGAACCAACTGGTTATGCTGGGCACTGGTCTATGTTACATGGTGCTTATTGAAACCATCCTGATAAACAATTTCAAGTTATGGTTATTACACAGGAGGCTTTTAAATTAAGTTGTGCTGACAGAGAAACTACAAATTATCTGACTTATTTCAACAGTCTGCTTGAGAAAACAGTTTTTAATGATCTATTTAAAAGGAATCATCCTGAACTACCTAGCACCTGTTCCAGAAATGACATATGAATGAGAAGGATGTTTGGCAAAAACAATCATTTTGGCTTGATAATCACTCTAGGAGCCAATTAGAAGCTACTGTGTACATTTCAGAGAGATCTGGCAAGGTCACTTCGGCTTTGACTCAGTCCCCCTACAAATAAAAAAACCCCGTTCATTAATTAAAATATCAACCATGCAACATATGCTACTTTACTCATCATTGCTGCAATGAAAACACAACTGCTAATCATTTGGAATTGCTCTATGGCTGAATAGTTACCACAGCTGAATTGCCATTTGGAACACTTGCTTTACCTGCTGAAAAGCAAACATATTTTGTAATCGAAATGTTCCAGTGTCTCCTAAAGACTTTGCAATTAAAAATAAAAAGAGAGATCAAACACTTTAGAATCTTGACTTTAGTAAGGCTTTTGATACTGTCCCGCATGACCTTCTAGGGAAATACAACCTAGATCAGTAGTCTCAAACTAGGGCCGCCGCTTGTTCAGGGAAAGCCCCTGGCAGGCTGGGCCGGTTTGTTTACCTGTCGCGTCTGCAGGTTCGGCCGATCGCGGCTCCCACTGGCTGCGGTTTGCCGCTCCAGGCCAACGGGGGCTGCAGGAAGGGCGTCCAGCACATCCCTCGGCCCACACCGCTTCTTTCAATATCTTCATCAATGATTTAGATAATGGCGTTGAGTTTGTGGACAATACCAAGCTGGCAGAGGTTGCAAGTGCTTTGGAGGATAGGATTAAAATTCAAAATGATCTGGACAAATTGGAGAAATAAATAGGATGAAATTCAATAAGGGCAAATGCAAAGTACTCCACTTAGGAAGGAACAATCAGTTGCACACATACATGGGAAATGACTGCCGAGGAAGGAGTACTGCGGAAAGGGATCTGGGGGTCATAATGGATCACAAGCTAAATATGAATGAACAGGATGTAAGCAGAGTCAGGATGAGCTCTACCCTGACATCTGGTGGTGAATTATGGCGAGTGTGGAAAAGAACTCCAGGGGCTGATCTTGTTTGCATAGGCACACCCACTCGCCTGGCATGAAACAGCAGCAACTCAAAGTGGTTACCTTGGCTGGTGTGGGATTCCTAGTTTCTCTGTTATTGGGGCAGGAAGAATAAAGTTTTGTTACCCTGATTCTGTGAATCAAGGGCAGTGAAACTATTGTATGACAGAAGGACTGAGTGAGTCCTTCACCATTACCTAAGTAGCACTTGCTTGACAAGGGGCATGGGTTACAAAACCCAGTGAATGGAGAGAGGATGGGGACAGGTATTTGTATCTAATGGTATGGTCCCTCTTTGAGGGGTTGAAACACTAATTGCACTACCTCCTCTGTCCACTGTTGAATATCAGAGCTAACTTTGATTCCATTATAAGTCTAGTTACAGACTGCTGAGCTGAATTCACTTTGGGCCAATGGTGCACTGGCACTGGGGCTCCCCTACTACTATGAGCTGAAATCACAAAAGAGCTGAGATCACTGAGGCTGTGTTAGCTAGTGGGGGAGCCTGAAGCTATATTGCTAAGCAGCTAGTGGAGCCTTGCGGGACAGTTGGAGTGGAGCTGAGCGGAGTGGCTGGAGGAGCAGCTAGCAGAGGAGAGCGGAGCCTTGTGCGAGCGGCCCAAGGGATGGCTGAAGTGGAGCAGAGCTGAGCGGCTCACAGGTCGGTGAGCAGAGTGGAGCAGCTGCCAGAGCAGTTCGTGGGACGGCGGGAGCAGCTCACGGGACAGCTGGTGGAGTGGAGCGGCTCGTGGTGAAGGCTGCGGTGGAACCCCCGTCGGCCTCGGATCACGTAAGGTGCCCCTTAACACCCTGCGTGCCCCCCCCCCGAACTCTGGGGCTGCACTAACCAGGGACAGAGACTTTGGGGGGTTGTTGTACTTTTGGGACTTTGGTGATCCTTGGGTTGCTGGTTTCAAGAAACCAAAGGGAACGGACACAGCCCAACTTGCTGGGGTGGGTTTTTTTGCTCATGGTTTGTGTTATGAATCCTGTTTGTGGTGTTTTTCCAATTTAATGCTGATGTCGTTTACCTCATATTATTAAACATTTTCTGTTACACTCAGACTCCGTGCTTGCGAGAGGGGAAGTATTGCCTCTTAGAGGCACCCAGGGGGTGGTATGTAATTGTCCCAGGTCACTGGGTGGGGGCTCGAGCCGGTTTTGCATTGCGTTATTGAAACGGAACCCCTAGATACAGAACCCGGCCCTTGTTGCTGCCAACTTAGATAGGCAGAAGGGTTACAAGTATAACACTGTTGTGAAAAAAGCAAACATCATTCTGGGAGTTATGGTAAGCAAGACACAAGAAGTAATTCTTCTGAACTATTCCTTGCTGATTAGGCCTCAACTGGAGCATTGTAACCAGTTCTGGGCGCCACATTTCAGGAAAGATGTGGACAAACTGGAGAAAGTCCAGAGAAGAGCAATAAAAAGGATTAAAGGTCTAGAAAACATGACCTATGAGGGATGATTGAAAAAATTGGGTTTGTTTAGTCTGGAGAAGAGAAGACTGAGGGGGGACATGAGAACAATTTTCAAGTACATAAAAGATTGTTACAAGGAGTAGGGAGCAAAAATGTTCTTCTTAACCTCTGAGGATAGGACAAGAAGCAATGGGCTTAAATTGTAGCAAGGGTGCGTTAGGGTTGGCTGTTAGGAAAAACTTCCTGTCAGGGTGGTTAAGCACTGGAATAAATTCTCTAGGAAAGTTGTAGAAACTCCCTCATTGGAGATGGCACTGATGGAGATGTTTAAAAGCAGGTTAGACAAACACCTGTCAGGGATGGTCTAGATAATACTTAGTCCTGTCATGAGTTCAGGGGACTAGACTAGATGACCTCTCGAGGTCCCTTCCAGTCCTATAATTCTCTGAATGAACAGTTCATTAATTATGACTTCTTGGATCTTTGCCTCAGACAAAAATAAATAAATAAAATATAAAGGTGCCCTTTGTTGATCAAAGCTATTTTAAATACAGTATATTTTTTATCCATTTATTCCAACTCTGTAAAAAGATCAAGGGATAGATTGTGTCAGGGTTGCATTGTTACAGGGGAAGCACTATAATACACTGGGGAAGCACAATATGTTACACCTATTTCTGTGTGCAGGAAAAAGTCTTAAATTTTGATGGAGAAACTGTTTACTCTGAATTTCTTACAGTATTTTACTTTATGCAGAAAATCATAAAACGCATGTAATGTTCAAGATACACAAAATCCATCCTCCATCTGAAAGCAACTTAGCACTGTTCTTATTACGCAAAATATGCTTAACTTGATTTCAGTGGGTTTTATGTATGTGCTTCAGTCCTTTAGTGTATGCCTTCACTGCAGAATTAGTCCAGGCAAGCCTATCATGGGTGATGCATCACCATTGTAAATTCCCACCTGTGCCAGACCCAGGTGGTTGTGTCCACAGTGGTGCTACCCTGGGCACCTATGCAGAAGTGCTCTAATGGGTCTTGCTGATATCACACCACAGCTGTACCAGACGGCTGGTGTCAGCTTCTGGCTAACCGGCAGTATGGAGAAGGATTTCTTGGCCAACCTCTCTGTTCAAATGCCGTAGAAGTGCAGCAGAAATGGAGCAGGCAAATATGGGTTAAAATGCAGAGGGGAGGGACTGGAAAGAAAGTACATCCCAGGTGAAATTCTGGGATAGGATTGAAGGATTAACAGCACCTGGACTTGATTATCCTGCACTTTCACTGCAAAATAGGCAGGTCACCAGCCTGAGCTCAAGCCTGTACCTTCAGCTGCACCTGCTAGCTTAAAGCACCCTCAAGCCCATGTAAGAGGTTTTTCTATGTGGACGGAAGAGGATAAGAGGCAACACCCGGGCTATAACCTGGGCTTGCTCTGTGGTGAAGACATACCATTGATGAAGAGGGATGCTTTTCTGATCTGGGGTCTTCGCTGTTGGAAGGCTCCTAGTTGGCTTATCTGGCAGCACTTCAGTGCTTATACAGCAGTAGGCTCCAGATTTGATTTGAGGATAGAACAGGCAGGGTACATACATAGTGAGTTTAACCAGATGTGGAAACTTTACTAATAGGGAAAATCTATAATTGCTCAGACAGTTAATTACAAATAGAGCAGTGTTGTATTCCTATGAGAGATTTCTCAAATAGGGCAAGTCCCCTCTAGTATCTGGCCTCCATCACTTGTATTCCTATGTGCCAAGGCATTTTGCATAAACATCTAAAGGTGACCTGTAAAGGATTTTCTTTTAATTGAACTTTTGTCCTCTTTTGATTCTTTATGATGTATAAGGAGGGCCTGAATGTGTTTTTACTATTAATCATTATTATTTTAAAGCTGCTGTTTTCTACCTTTTTTTAAACCTTAGGCCTTGGCTACACTGGCGCTGTACAACGCTGCAACTTGCTGCGCTCAGGGGTGTGAAAATGCCCCCCCTCCCGAGCGCAGCGAGTGCAGCGTTGTACAGCGCCAGTGTAATCAGCGCCTGCAGCGCTGCACGCTCACTCGCAGCGCTGCAAGCTACTCCCCTGCAGCGCAACGATGAATTCTCAAGTGTAGCCAAGGCCTTAGAAATATCAAGAACATAAAATTTGGTTCCCCCTACCTTTGTTGGAGGGCAGGTGAGAGGTATTGTTTATTGTGACATTGCTGAATGGGTGAGAAAGTTTACTAAAGGCTTCTTTTCTTCAAAATGTTAATTAATCATTGAAGTTAAATAGGTGTCCAGAACAAAAACAACAACCGTTTTAAGCAGCCTTACTCTAATTCTGTACCCTCTTTACAGCTCGCTTGTGATTTCACCATTTCAGAAGTTCTCCAGTCATCATAGAATCTTCCAGCCTAGGTAGAATCTGAATTGCTAAAGAATAAAAAGCAAGCAGAAAAAAATGTTTATATTTTAAATCTATCGATTTTAAAAACTTTGATCATCAAGAGGGAAAGGGAGCACAAGCCCATTTTTTTTAACTTTGCCAGTTATCTTAAAAGTCAGAAAACCCTAAATGGTGTTTCCAAGGAGCTAAGTGAACATGGCAGGGAGATATTAAACAATTTTGTTTCTTCCTGGGAAACCAATTAGCTAAAACACTAAAATCAAGCTGGAGATCAATGCATAGGGAGTAATGAAGCAATGTTATAATTTCTGAACAGAAAGCAGAGCCATAAGTGAAGCCTATGTACAAACATGTGGAAATGCCCCACTGCAAATTTCAAACAAACAATACGTTTTATAAGAAACAGTCAGTTTGCTTATTTCTAGGGAATTGGCAGCCACTTTGACTTGCTGAAAGATCCAAAACAACATGATTTAAGCTCTGTGTTTAAAGTTAATCTAGTTAACAAAAACCAGGACTAAATTCTCCTAGATTCAAATAGTAAATTAAATGCAAATTGACAAGAAAAGTGGCATTTAAATGAAGTACAGTATCATACACTGCCGACGAAGTTAATTCACAGAAATTGATTCTAACAGTTGACACAACACTTCATGTTATGAATTTTAAACATAGAGAAAAACCCATTGGGCCTCATTGTCTACCCCTCACCAGTCCAGGACTGAACACAATGATGGTCATTAAAAAATAATCATAGAGTAGATTTTTTTACTTGATTGAGGAGCAAAGATCTCATTGAAAGTCATTGGGATTTATACTCCTACATTTTGTAGGTGCTTTAAAAAATCTGCTACAATGAGAATTGGGAAGTGTTGCTAACTAGAAATGTTGAAATTTGAGAATACACTTCTCTAAAATTTATAATGCTTTAGGGCTCAACTCTGGCCTAGTAACTGTGGTGGTACAGGGGCATAAGGAGGCGCAAGGCACATCAGAGAAACATGCACTGCACTGGGTACAGGGCTCAGAAATATACTCCCTCTCGGAGCAGCAAGGGAACCATGAAGGGAATTTTGACTTTGTCTACACTAGTACTTTTGTCGGTAAAACACACCCCTGAAAAATTTCACTGACAAAAGCACCGGTGTGAACAGCGCAACATCAGCGGAAGATGCTCTCCTGCCAACATAGCTACCGCCTCTTGTTAGGGGTGGTTTAATTATGCCAGCGGGAGAGCTCTCCCCCGCCAGCATAGAGCAGCGACACAGGAAACCTTAGAGCAGCACAACTGCAGCCGTACAGCTGTGCCGCTGTATGGTGTGTAGTGTAGACAAAGCCTGTGACTCCTTGAATCACAATATCCCGGTCTGCTTCTGAGGTAGCACAACAATGGTCTGCCCTTTACTTTTCTATTCCATATAGGTACTATACTACACTCATCAAGCCACGATCAAGCCCTTCAGTTATATTTATTTCCATTTTTGCACAAGTCAAATCAACAGCACGACAAATAAATTATTAAGTAAAATCAACAATACAAATGCATTTCTCTTACTAGATTAACTACATGACCACTTTATGCTATTTTAATTATCTTTTGGCAACAAAGCCCCTACTTGATAAGCCCGGGGTTTCCTGCTGCAAAAAGAGAGCCTAGAATAAATTCACATTTACATATGACATTATTGCTGTTCACATTGTTTTGTAAGCTGCATTATTTGTATTCCAGAAAGTGAATAAAAACCTAGGGCAGTTGAGTTCCAGTGTTTTTTAACAGCAGCCGAGAAGAATTTGTGCTTTTTTTCTAGTGTAAAAATATATGTTTTCTCTTGTTTCACTTAAACAATAAAGATGATGAAGTAATAAAAGAATGTAAAGGAAGAGAGGGAGAGAAATAGTCCATAAAAGGGCCTTATGAGAACAGTTTTGCAATGCATATTTCTATTTCAAAATATATTACCTGTACGCTACTGAGATCAGACCTACACTACAGCAGTACACGAGTTCCTCTGTTTTCTTTAAAAAGAACAGGAGTACTTGTGGCACCTTAGAGACTAACAAATTTATTAGAGCATATATGGATCCAAAGAAGTGGGCTGTAGTCCATGAAAGCTTATGCTCTAATAAATTTGTTAGTCTCTAAGGTGCCACAAGTACTCCTGTTCTTTTTGCAGATACAGACTAACATGGCTGCTACTCTGAAATCTGTTTTCTTTGAGCACTGCAGGATTGTTTATATTTGTTGTTTCATCAAACATTGTTACTATAATAAATTATACATATTACTCTATGTGGTCTTTGCCAAAATTCCTAAATGAGTGTTCAAAGAGACAGATATAAGCAATCTTCTTGATAAAATGCTGAACTTATAGTGTATTAAATATAGTAGAGCATCATTAATTGCAGATGTCTATGTGTACATTCATTTCCCTAGCAAAGTCTGCTGTAGTGGCCTTTCTTTGTCAGAGTTCTGTGGAATCAAATTAGACCAAGAATAATAGATGCGTCAAGGATGCATTAGTTATATGTAATCTCATCACCTGGATCACATGCAGAAGTGCACATCAAAAATCTACAGTGGCAAAACAAACTATACAGAACAAAGGTTAACCAGACAGCCAGGTGCTAGGAAGTATTTGTTTGTCATATAATGTTTAAACATCTTATAGAGTGATACAATGTTTATTACAAGTGCCATTGACGGTGATGATAATAAAACCTAATGAAAGCGATGATGAATCCCCATTGTGAGCCTGCACTGAGCTTTGTGAATCAGCTACCATTTCAAATGCTTTCCAATACAAGTGCTTCTAGAGGTGAAAAGTAATAACAATGCTAGTCTTGCCAATATTCAACATTGCATCAGTTTAACTTTAAATTGATTTAAAAAAAACCAATTAAAACTGGTGCAAAACCCCATGTGGGCACTCTTAATTCAACTTAAAGCTGCTTTATTTGGTATTTTAGCTTAACTTGATAAAGAATTGATTTAGACCAGTTTTAAAATAAATTAAGAGTATCCACACAGGGTTTGGAACCACTTTAAATAAATCATTTTAAAATCACACATTTAATTAAACTGGTGTAACTTTGAAGATAGTCAAAGCCTCAGTAGCTTCAAAAAGTCAAGTATGTACATTAAAAGCAAACATCCTAATTAAGCAAAACACTTAAGCACATGCTTAAATACTTCGATGAATAGGGATGAACTTAAGCATGTGTTTAAAGTATTTTGCTGAATCGGGGCCCAAAACCTCTCCTAGCCTGATGGACAAGTGAGAGAGAAGATGTAGGGGCCTTTTCCTGTCCATATGGCAGCAGGGCAGGATCCTATCTGAGAGCTCAAGGCAGAGCTAGGGGACCAAAGCCCATTGGAGTCAATGCGAGTCTTTCAGTTGATTTTATTAGGCTTTGGATCAGAATCTAGGAGAGCAGATGAGTTAATATGTCAGCCTGTTATCCACACACTCTCTAGCACACCCATCTTTACCCTTCTGTGGACTCAAGGCATAACCCTGTTAATTTAGGCACCCCCACCCTTTCCCAGTTCCTAGGGTTCCAGGTATAAGGCACTCAACTTTACCCCTCCGTGGGCTCCAGACTCCACCCCTCCATGGGCTTAGGGCTCTAGGTATAACACTCATTCCCTGTGGACTCAGGGCTCTACGGGTCTGCAGGGTCTTTTACCAGTGAAAGAGCCTTATACAGTAATATCCTTAACCTCTATTTATTAACAATCACCGACACAGCATGCACACATTGAGCATACAATGCTCAGCACTCCCAATAAGGCAGATGAACTTTTTCTGCTGGCAAGTCATGATCAGTTTATCTGGGGACTCCAGCTGCTGCATAGTGTGATTGGCAGGGTGTTGAGGTCTGGCAGCTCTGAACTTGGGGCTGTCCCCTGAAGTTGGTTCCAAAAGAACTTCCTTTTGGACCCCAGTTTATATAGTGAAACTTGAGTGCTGCTTAGCTGTCCCGTAACCAATCATTTTACTAAAATATTACTAAACAATTTTCTAACCAATCCTAACATATTGTAAAACAATTCTTTAGCCAATCATACCCCACCACCAGAGTTGATTTCACACCTAGCAAAATTAGTTATGTAACAGACAGACACAATTAAAAGAACCAGAGACCATACAGATAGACAATAGAGAAGTGGGGACCATAAAGACAAAACAATAAAGAAGTAGGGATTTCACAACCACAACTGTTGATAAGTGATTTCTTGCCAGACAGGATGCTATCAAACCAAGTTTTCTTTAACCATCTTAAGATCTGTTTCTTTATCTGGTGACGGTGGGTACTGTTAGGACAGCATCGCCTTCTTAACAGCCCGGTATTACATTGTTTTAATGTACTTTAGATGGAATTTGAGGATGTGACTTCCTGCTTCTTAGCTAATGTCTGTTGCTCTCCATATATGGCTGCAGGAAAAGACTTGTCTTACAAGCGCATGCATCACATCTGCAGCTTAAGGGGTCTCTAGTCCTAAACCATTCACAGAGTACGCTACTGTCAGCAGATAGCACTGGGTAGTGAGGTAGAGCTACTTCTGCTCAGTGGACAAATGAAGTAACCCCATCCCCACTTCATTTTTGCCACAGCCCATTGTGAAGGATGCCCCTCCAGACAGTGGAAAGTCTACAGTGTAGGGCTCACTGAACAGTGCTTCTGCTCCCTACCACTGCACCAACCAGGGGAGAATCTGATCTTAAACTGATGAATGTAATGAATTCAAATCGGATATCAAAGGAATGGAAAATGGATTTGCTTCCTTTTCTCACCTCTGCATTGTCTCTTGTCCCATTTGCGATCAAACTGACTGCAGAAAAGTTCACTTCCTAACAATAATCCCAGTTGTGTGATTATTCCATTCTTACTTACTCAATTCTTAGGGTAAAAGACAGATATCAGGATTAATTTTAAAGAAAATATTTAACGTGTGGGGTGAATTTTAAAAGCACAAGTCCCATTGAAAAATCCCACCAAATGTGTATGTTTCATGTGATTTACAGGAGAAAATTGCAAAGTACAGTAAAGTAATATCTACTTTAAAAAATGTATTCCATATATTGTCTTTATTTTTCTCCTTCTTTACATTTGCAATTACTCTGAATCTATAACTTTTTGATATAGAACTGTTAAGAATCCCATGGTAGCTAAAAAAAACAGAGTGAGGTCTCGGAAGGACCATGGAGCATTTAGGACAACAAGGTATGGGAGTAGGGAAGTGACTTTACTTCTATATAAGGCAGACCGACACTGGGATTCTGGGGTCTACATTTAAAAAAAAAATATAAAAAAACCTGGAGAGGGTTTAGAGAAGATCCACAAAAATTATTCATGATCTGGGGGGAAAATGCTATAGAGAGATTTAAGGAGCTCCATCTGCTTAGTTTATTAAAAAACAATAAAATAAAATAAACAGATCTAAAGGTGACATGATTACAGTGCACAAATATCTTCACAGGGAGAAAATATTGATAACTAAAGGGCTCTTCAATCCACTGGAGAAAAGCACAACAAGAATCCATAGCTGAAAGTTAAAGTCAAATTCAATCAGGAAATAAGACAGTGAGGGTGACTAACCATTGGAACAAGGGAAGGGGGTGGATTCTCCATCTCTTGATGTCTTCAGATCTAAATTGGATGCTTGCTAGAAGATGTGCTTTAGCCAAACACAAGTTATTGGGCTCAACAGAAGGGTAACTGGGTGAAATTATTTTGCCTGTGTTATTCAGGAAGTCAGTCTAGATGATATAACGGTACCTCCTGGACTTAAAAGAGAAAAGAGAAACTGTGTAATTCTATCATCCTGAGGTCCGTGCTAGTGGATCCAATTCCAAAAGCAGGGCCTTAATTCGGAAATGGAAATACACAGAAATAATGGTATGTTGATAATAATGGTTCTGATACTCTAACCACTTACAGACTCAATCAGGAGAAATTGCTCTGAAGTCAGTGAAGTTTCACCACTGGAGAATTGGTGGGAGACAAATCCAGCCCCAAATATTTATTCTGAAGAATCTCTGAATTCTATTCCATGACATGTAGCTGAGACCCTCTCATGTGTATTTTTTTGACACCTTCTCTTTTGCATTCTTGGATTCAGTTGTACCATGTTCTTTCCAGTGCATTTATATATATCTGTAACTCCTTTCCTGTCCTTATAATAATATAATTCTATGCACGACTTTTATTTCCAGGGTTAATCAAAGAATGTGGTGCTTTCATGAATTTTAAACTGGCCTTAAAATTGAAAAGAAATAACTCACAAAAAGGACAACCGTTAGAAATTCAACTATATAATTAACAAAAACGTTAAACAAATCTAAAGGAGAAAGCCTTTTGAATGGTCAGCACTAAGTCCCATACACGATTCTGTTATTCCAAGGTTATGCTGGTATTGGTATTGATTTCAATGAAGTAACCTGCATAGAACTAGAGTTAACGTGGTGAATCAAGACCACAGACTTAAGCCAAATGTTGATCTGACATGAGACAGACAAGGTGGGTGAGGTAATATTTTTTATTAATATCCTGGGACCAACACGGCTACAACTGCACTGCATACAACAATCTGAATTAGGGTCAATAAAAGGGAGGATTCTTAATAAAAACACCATGGATTTGGTAGGCATGTTTTGTATCATATACATTTCTTTAATACTGTGGTCATTTTAAATTATCTACAGTCCCACCATTGATAGTCTTGCATGAGCCCTCTAGAGTTCAATCAACCCAGCTGCACGATCAGTAAAGAGACAATGGTTACCACACACAGGGTTATTTGGATTAGTGAATACCACACACCATTAAATCATCTGCCAGATGGCATCAGAAGAAAGCTGCAACTCTCACACTTTCATTTCAACAGCAGCAAACAATGTTCTGTTTTTAAAATAAACTCTTCCAGATGAGCAAAAGATAAACTTTGTGGTGCTTTTGCTCAGTCTTCCCTTTTGACTCTAGCTTTAACAAGGGTTCTGATTGGTTACATTAATGTAAAATCCCAATTTAGACCACCATAGAACAAAGCTGTCCCTCTAGGCTGCATCAAAATTCTACGCTCCTTATTGAATGCAGTATTTTCACTCATCAACTTCTGTCAACAGAAGCCTTAAAATTGAACACCTCCCCCGTTAAGCCATTTCCTGTCATTTTATGTTTTCCATAGCAAACATGTTGCTGTGTTGTTGAAGCAATGACCATTTACACTTTTCCCAATGTTTTAACCCCTTTTAGAAATAATAGATGTCCAAAAGCAAACTTTATTTAAATAAACAAATTCAAACAGCAAAGTAGTTTGATAGGACTTAACCTTTGTCCCAAGTATGCTTAAAGGGACATCACTGTTGACTTTGTTTTGTGATTACAAAGGATAATACATCATCTCCTACTCTGCTTCTACTGTGCCTGGGCCCCAGGCTTGGTTGGAACCTCAGTGCTACTGGAATACAATTTATGAATAACAACACGACCATGGATACATGTGATGTTAAGAAAAGTGTTTTGAAGTTGTTCATCTTAGGAAAGTATTATGGCCAAAATTTTCAAAAGTACTCTTTGAATTAGGATGCCTCAAGATTTGGGGAGCACAATTTGAGCCACTTTTGACCTGATTTTCAGAGGGTTTGAGTAGAACTAAACGAAAATGAGGAAAGTGCAAAACATTTTGCAAAAAAGGTCTGTGTTTTTCACTGAAAAACTTTGGAATCCAACATTTTCCTGCCAATTGTAGTTTCAAGCAACTGCAGTTCCTGTTGACTTCAAGTGGCATTGCAGGTATTCAGCACCTCAGAAAATCAGGCCTGGGGCGTCTCAAGTTGAGAACCCAAAAAGAGGCCACCTTTGAAAATGTGGCTGTTAATCTTCAATGTTTGTATTGTAGGCTTTGTCACCCCCATGCATCTCAGCCCAATCAATGGTCCTTATTCGCAGAAGAGGTAAATTGGGCTCCCAAAGGACTATAGGATGAGGATTACAGGATTGGGCCCTTCATATGCAGGAATCACTTTACTCACCACTGAACTGCAGTCACTTCTGACGTGGATGCAGGGTAGTAGCCAGCTAGAGAATTGACTCTCGGAGCAACAGCATGGTGGAGAAAATAACATATTGGCAAAGGATAACCAGAGAGTGGACCCTAACTCTTACAGAGAATGCTTTGAAATCTTTAATGTCCACACAGTAAAGACTATGGTTTTTAAGGTCTTTTTGGAAAGGTACATACACAATAATCTACCCAAAGCTTAATGTATCTAACAGAGAAGGGGCCAAAAAAGCTGGGGAGGATTGGAACATGCATTTCCAAGCAGTCTAATGGCCTGACCCACAATGCATAGACAATCCTAAGTTCCCACTGACTTCACTTTAAGTCATGGGAAGTGAAATCCTGGCCCTATTGAAAACTACTATTGACTTCAATAGGGCCAGGATTTCATCCTGGGAGTTTGGGATACTAGGCAGCTGGCAAAGTGTTCAACACCTTCCAGAATTGGGCTGTATTTCAGGCCTGATGCTTATGGTGGCATTTCATCTAGTGTGGTTATACCATGCTGGTCCCAGGATGTCAGACAGACAAGGTGAATGAGGTAATTTTTATTGGGCCAACTTCTGTAGGTGAGCTCTTCTTCAGCTCTGTATAGCTCAAAAGCTCATCTCTTTTGCCAACAGAAGTTGTTCCAATAAATGATATTACCTCAGCATCTTGCAGCACTCATGGCATCTAGGCCAGCCGTCCATTGTCCCCCACCCCTCCTAGCTACAGTGAGTCTTCTTCATTTTATCTGCAAATATTTAAGAAGTAAAAAATTTCCAACTTGCAGGAGAGGTTTGTTAACCTTATTAGATGGCTGGTGTGCCAGCCTTTCTGAAGGATGATTAGGAAAATGTTCCCTATGCTGTTTAGAACAGTGGTTCTCAAACTTTTTTTTTCGTGGACTACTTGAAAATTGTTGAGGGTCTCGGTGGACCACTTAATATTTTTCCAAATGTTGTTTGTACCATTAGCTAACTATTGTAAAGTGCTTTGGATAAAAGTGTGCGCGCTCTCTCTCTCTATATATATATATAAACTTAATAATTAACTTTTTTTGTTCTACAAATAAAAGCACACAAAAAAGCACACAACTCACATTTTAATATCAGTAGTCTTACCTTTCTAATGCGATGGATGTGCCCTTTCTACCTCGCTTCGGCAGCCCCCAAGCTGGGGCTGGGAAGGAGGGGGGGGGGTCTCTCCCTCTCACCCCTGCTGCGGCAGCCCCCGAGCCTTGGCTGGGAAGGAGGATGTCTCTCCACCACCACAGCAGCCACAGAGCTGAGCTAAGAAGGAGAGCCGTCTCTCCCCGGCAGCCCTGGAGCTGGAGAAAGTCACCTTTCTCTGGCCGCCACAGCCCTGCACCTCCCAAATTCCCCCCACGCCCTCTTCTCACCCCACTTCCCCGCCCACCTACCCAGTATTCCCCCCAAGACTACCACCTCACCTTACTTGTGCATCTTTTCCAGGGTCCAGGCACCTAATTAGTGGAGCCGATTAGGTGGGTGGCCCTTCATTCTCTTGTGTGTGGCTGCCCAGGCACACACCTTAGAGGGAACTATGGTCCATGGACCACAGTTTGAGAACCTCTGGTTTAGAACATTTGGAATCAGTTAAATATTCAAATATAAGTTCTCAAATCGGAGTCCAGTCACAACAGGTGCAAGGGCACTTCTGGTAGCTGAGGGGGTGGGTAAGAAGCCTGTAGCGAGGCAGCTTTTCTGTTATGAGAAATATCAGCTCCACTCTGAGACCCGTCAAAAATAATAATTCGGTTGTCTAGGCTGCCTGGATCTTTTTGCCAGCCAAATAGCTCCTTCAAGATTAGCTTGGGAAAATGTATATGTAAAGGGGAACAGGCCTTGTATACTAAAATTATTTGAATGACTCTTGCAAGTTATTTTCTTTATGGCCTGAGGTGGAAATAAACCAAATGTATTTAAACTGGGAACTATCCATATCCACATAATCCCCTCATGCCCTTACCGTACTCTCGCAGGACTCAGGCTTTGAAGCCTGTGATGCTTTCTTATAGTAGGAAGCTTACATGGGCACAATGAGCAACCACAAGAGAATGAAATGGGAGTTAAAATATTCTTTTTTCATTGCATCATGGAAAAACTGATCATTTATCTCATATTAAGATGGACATTTTGTATTGGAAGTCTCATGCTATGTACAGCTGCCTCATCACCGTTGTAGATTTTAGGTCTTTTTAGAGTAAGTGTCCCAACGGCCAAAGACTCAGTATTTTCTTCTGTACTCTTTTTAAAAAAAAATATAAAATATTAAATTTGTACACAAGCCCTGTTTGCCATGAACAAAGACAGCAAAAAATGACAGCCTTGACTCAGCAAAGTATGCAAACTTATTATTAAGCAAAGTATGCCACTGACTCCCTGTCTGACCTTGGGCAAATCTCTTAGGGAGATTTTCAAACATGCTGTGCCTAAGGGATTAAGGTGCAGAATTTCCACTTAAGTGCTTTTCAGCATGGTACTTTTCTTTGCAAGCTATGTCCCAGTAGGCATCCATGACTCTCTTCTAACATGCACACAGTAGTTTTGACAGGGGTAGCAATGGAACAGTGGATCACAGATCATAAATTTGAGTTCTATTTACTTTATCTTGAGCTCCTTTTGATGAAACAGTAAAAAAACCAAGATATCTTCTGGTCTGTAGGGACTTGAGGGAACCCATCTTGTTTTTTGTCAGAAGAGTTTGTGCCCCGGTGCAACTGGTCAAAACTTTGCCTTACCCTCAGTATTATGCTGCATGGTAGTTGGTTGGTGCCTTCCACTCCATCCAGGGTTGCATTTCAATGGTATTACATATAGTCATTTGGGGATTGTTTTAGATGAAAGACGCAAGATAAATGTAAAATAGGATTTCACAGGTTGAATACCTGTTTATTCTCTAACCATATTTCCATCCTCTCTTTGGGATGGCCCTCTGCATTATTTACAAACAGCATTTTTGTGTCAAACATTCAGAGTACACAATCACACACTTCAGTTCTACTCCTACAGATTCTGTTGCCTAAAAGTGAGTAATTTATGCTGCAATTACAATACAGTGAGAAATATATGCTGTAATTATTGTTACAGGAACTTTAAAAAAAAATCAATTTTCCCCCTTAACTTATGATCTTCTAGATTTCTCTGTCTTCCTCCCAAAAGCATGGAGCTCCTGTTATGCCTCTTTCCTATATCCACAGTACTGCATCTCTGGAAACAGGTGTGGAAGGGATTGAGTACAATACAATGTGTGAGTTAGAACATACAGAACAACATGCAGTGAGGACGAGTTAGAAGACATACGCTGTAAATGATCTGAGAATCTCCAAATATGGTGTTAACTCAAGTGTTGAGCCAATAAGGATTTATAGTGTGATAGACTAAGCTTCAAACACTTCAATCTTTTATATGTATATATAAATTAATAGTAGTAATCAAGACCCCCAAAGCACTACTTTCTTCATATTCATTAAATTTACTTTTACCTTAAATTGGTGCTGTTAAATAAAATTACTAAAGAGAGACAAGCAAATCATAATTAACCGGAAACAGTTACTGAAGTTATATATTTATTTTAAAACAATAAGGGAGGCATCTTTATGTAATATCCCTGTATTTATTTTTGGCCTATTTTAATTCCATTTTCTCTGCATAGTAGAGACTCTCTAAGCCTATTTAGGATAGTTGCCAAGGCTACTTTTGTCAAGTTTGTGTAATAGTTTCTTGATCATATTTGTACCGTGTACGCATTAGTGAGGTTAAGGAAATATGCACTTACACAGACGATGACTTATCAGGAAGAACTGTGGGACATATTAGACTGAACCATATGCACATTTCACTAAGGAAGACAGTATGAGAAAAATCTATAAATAGACAATTCACAAAACAAACCACAGGATCAGATCTTGGGCTCTGACACACCCTCCCAGTCACATAAAGACCTACTGAAGTCAATGGTGGGGCATCCATCAGCCCAAGGCTTAGTGCAGGATAGCGGCCTTGGTTCATATCGCCAGAAGAGCAGGTTTGGCCCAAATAAAATAGAACCTGCTGTACAATCAAACATATATACTAGATTAATGGCAGTGACAGATGCTAATTTATGGAAGGCCATCTTGAAAATATCTGACTTGTGACCCACAGGTGAGTTATAATATGGCTTGATATAGTTCCTGTTCAGGCAGCTAGTGATATGCAGTTGTGGGAAAGAGTTTTTGTGCTATGAAACAGTATTTGGAGGCCTAGATGATCATAGCGGAAGAGTGTTCACAACTCACTGGTAAAATCTTTCACATGGTTTTAGCTTGGATTGCTCACCAACCCAACACTGTTATTGGTATTAGGATGGATTCACAAACCATCTACAAGAAAAAGCAAACAGCCACACATTTCATGTACAATGCGATACAGTGCTATGTCTGAGATCAAATAGTGGAAGACAACAAAGAAGCATATACATTACATAGCAAATAACTTTTTATTTGCTGAACAAGTAGCTTTCAGAAGAGATTTAATGCTGAAATATATTCAAACACCCAGGCTGTTAGACTCTAGTTCTGTATTTTTTCAAAATACGGATTTATTTAAAATAGAGAATATTCTCTATTTTAAAAGAGCCGTACAAATTACTCCTAGTAGCTTTGAAATCTATGAGCAAAGTAATTTGTGTTTCACACCATTCAAGGGGGAAAATACCATTGCAGAAAGCTTCAGGGTAGCAAAATATTAGTTATCTTCATTCCTTTCTGTAGGTCTTTTTTCCTAGCATTTATTTTAATAATCCAACCATCACTTCACTGATATCCCAAAGTTTTCTTGCAACTAAATCATCCATGGCTTTAGGCAGCAATTCCTCCTCTTTGCAATCCCCAAAATACTTGCCTGACACACCCTCTACTTCTGCAGAGGAGGCCAAATAAATAGAAGTCTGGGCTCCTTCCAATGGGGTTTTGAAGAAAGCCCATGACACCAAATTGAAGAGGGGTTTTGCCAGCAAAGGAATATTTATGTATCTGCCTAGATTGGTTCGGACAATACCGGGATGAAGCACGTTGACAGTGACTTCTGTGCCTTCCAATCGGCGGGCTAGCTCCCTGGTGAATAGTATGTTAGCCAGTTTACTGCGACTGTAGCCAAAACTTTTATTGTAACTTATCTCACTGTTCAAGTCTTCAAAGTTGATCTCTCCATATTTGTAAAGTCTGGAAGAAACTACCACAATCCTGCTTGGGGCAGAACTTTTGAGGAGGCCAAGGAGGAGGTTAGTGAGCAAGAAATGACCCAAGTGGTTGACACCAAACTGCATCTCGAAACCATCCTCTGTCTTCATGTATGGACACTGGAATATCCCCGCATTATTGATCAGAACATCCAGTCTCGGCTCTTCCTTAAAATAGCAAAAATAATCAGATTTATAAACACAGCAATCTGTTATTAAGCTTAATTATATTCAATGACCTTTATTAGGAAAAAACATTCAACTGCTCATCCTCTAAAATGGGATTTTCTAGGTCATGGTTATTTTAATGTAATCTTTGAAAAAACAAGTGTTTTGGTAGTTGTCAGTAAGAGGAGTATCAAATCACCTGGGTTGTGGGGGGGGGCTGTGTTACTCTGAATATAGCTAAAATATAAACATTTTTCAAGAATAGCATTTTTTAATTGAAATCTACTGAAATTATTCTGTAATACCAATTTCTTTCCAAAGAATTATCAGGATGTGACATTAAAGAAAAGCTGATAAGTGTACTACTGGTTAGTATTCATATTGTGGCAGCACCTAGAAGCCCCGGTCATAGAACCTATTGTGCTAGGCACTGTACAAACAAAGAACAAAAAGATAATCTAGCTCTTTGAGGCAGGGATTTAGGGTTAAATATAAATATAAATTAATGGAGATATTCTATTTCCTAGAACTGGAAGGGACCTTGAAAGGTCATCAAGTCCAGCCCCCTGCCTTCACAAGCAGGACCAAGTACTGATTTTTGCCCCAGATCCCCAAGTGGCCCCCTCAAGGATTGAACTCACAACCCTGGGTTTAGCAGGCCAATGCTCAAACCACTGAGCTATCCCTGCCCCCCTGTTAAAGAGACACTGCCAACAAACCCATCATTTGATTAGGAAAAAATAATTAGATTTATGATTAATTTTGAAAACACTGCTATTAATAATTTCAAACAATGGTACCTAATTTAAAATTTGCCTGAACTGTGGTGGACCAAGATACTATGTTGTGCCAATGCACAAGAACCAGAAAGTAAAACTAGTAACAGAAAAATGAAATCTGAGGCCCCCATACTTATGTTCTAAATCCTGCATAGTCTGTGCACCCAGAACTCCGAGAGGGAAAGATCTTAGGAGTTTCAAAGTGTGGTTCCACTCTGAAAAATGACTTCACACAAGTGTCACTATAAAGTTCCATGTTTCTCTCCCCTCACTCCATCCCTTCCTCTGTCCCCGTCCCCCCCCCCCCACCACACACACTTTTCCTGCCAGTCCTGCCCTTGGATCAACTCATTCCCTCATATGCCATCTCCCGTATTACCTTCACCAAGGCCCTGTAACCCCCATACCAGCTTTCCCCTCTCCTCACCCCAGCCCTCCCCCATCCTTCTCCCCCTTATTTCTTCTCTTCCCCATCCCATCCCTTCCCCCCACCTTCCTCCACCCTCCCCCCCCAGCCTCCCCTCCTCCCCATCCCTCCCCCCCCCACTTTTCCTGCCAGTCCTGCAAATTTAACATAGGCCCTGGAAGTCAAGCTGAGCTCTTTCTGGCTCCTTACCACCAGTAAGAAATTTTCTGCAGGCCAGATTCTATCCTCATTTACACCTTTGAAATTTAATAGTCCACACATTTTGCCATCAGTGGCACAAGTATAACTTAGAGCAGAATCTGAGCCTGCATTTGGAATTTAGTTAATAATTAAATCAAGCTGGGGCTTGATCCTGCAAGATGCTAAGTTCCCTTAACTCCTACTGATATCAATAGGAGTTGAGGATGCTCAACATCTCAAAGGATTGGGTCCTTCATGCATGAGTCGGAAAGAATTCACATCTCCCCCATAGCTGCATAGTACTGAAAGATGTAACAATTTATCACTGAAGCCAGCATATTACTCTGAATACACAATGCAGTTGGTCTTTGTGCAGTGAGGCTAAAAAAGTGAAAAATTAAAATGCAGGTATCTAAACACCCACAATGAAAGCCAGGCTGTGGGAGTGCCAGCTATGTCTCATCTTATCAATCTAGGAACCTCCTTTATCTTACAGACAACTTCAGAAAGGAGTCACAAGTTCAGAAAAGGAGGGGAATAACGTAAGTGTGTATGTACTACAGCCCTATGGAAGTGTTTCTAGAACTAGTCATCTCAATCATTTTGTTTTCTCCATCATTTACGCCATGGTGAGGGTATTCTAAAACAGCAGATACCACTAGAAATAAACCCAATAGCGGCACTACCTTCCCAGGCTGTCTCCAGCTCACTCCCGGGTATGTCATTCCACACACTTCATATCATGCCTCGCTATTTTGTTCTCAATTTTGCTTGTGAAAAGACAACACTTTAATTGGTTTTGCCAATAGGGAGACTGCCAGCTTAAAAAAAAAAAATCACTGTTTTTTAAATGTATCACTAACACCTATGAGGCACTACACCAGATTAGAAAAAAAGGGTATATTGTTTTCCCTGTGTTTACTTTGTGCATTTCACAGCACTTGTGTATAGTCACATTCAGTTTCCCCTGTAAAGTCAAACAAGCCCAGATCCTGCAACTGGATCTACGCAGATGGCGCTAAATGGCTTTCCATTGAAGTCTGTGGAGTTTTACATGGGCACAACTGTCTGTCCATGACAAACCAATTACAGAATTAGGGCTTTAGTCAATTTCTCCTGTTGTTTCTGTGGGTCTTTTCTGTTAGTGTTTTTGTTCTGTTTAAAGGAGGAGGAAAATGCACACACACATAATGTCCTAAAATAGGGCCAACACAGTGTGAATCTCAACACTTATCTTCCTTCTTTTCACTCCCTTTACAATTTTCTTATCTGCAAAGATTGGAGACTAGGAGAGACCCAGAGCTGTAGCCCTTTTTACCACACATCTTCATTATTCCAGGTATTTCTTCTTCAGTTAAACTCATGGTTTCTGACACCTTTGTTTAAGTGTGTCATTTAGTTACCCAAATGTGTGGGGATCCTACAGATTTTCAAGAAACATTTAGCTTTTTCTTTAAAATATATCCCTTCCTGCCTTGATTTCTTTAAGGGCCTCCTGGATCAGTGTTCGGACCCAAAGAGTGCAACAGTATTCCTGTCTAGGCACAATGGTGATAGACATCTTTAAAATACCCTGGAAAAATAAACTAGATATTTAAGGGACTGTTATAAATTAGAACACAGTGAAATGTGCACAAAAATATTCCAAGTTATGAGATACCTGTCTAGCTTTTCATTTAAAACCCAGAGAAAGTGCCGCAAACAGTGCCCCTACAGTCTAGAAAACTCAGACTGAATAGTGGATTTTTGCATCAAGATTATTCAGTTTTAGTTAGAACCAGGAGAAATTTGGTAGTTTTGACTGGATTTTGCTTATTGTTCCTCAGTTCAGGAAGTGGGAACCCACACAATCCAAGACAGAAGAAAGTGTTAACACAAATCCTGTGAAGTGAATCTGGCACGTCACGTTAGAAACTCATGTTTAGCTCTCAACTTTATTTAATCCAAGATTATTCACTTTTTGTTCCTATTAAGAGTATCAACAAAAGAAAGCTATTAGCTGCCTTTTTCTCTGGCATCTGAGAAACTTTCCCCCTTTCCCAAGATGAGATAGTAAAATCCTAAAAGATGACAACTGGGTCCTGACTCATTCCCTCATTCCTTCTTTACATATATGTCAAACCTTACTTCCAAGTGCATGGACCTGCCCTGTGAATTGCATTCCGAGATCTAGCATCTGAAAAACACTCAATCCAATCTGTTTGAAAGATACAATTTCTTCATCATACCTTCCAATCACTACATTATCTGAGTGTCTGCCAAATATTTCAAATAAGAAATGACACCAGGCTCCTGGCAAATTATGTTAAAGGCCCAAAAGGGTGAAGAGAAAGTCTATTCATCACGTTATTATTAATGTGAAGTTATGCTGAAACATCAAGTGTTAAGATGACGACATTTCGTGGGTTAAGAAAATTGTATCAAAAAAATATTTACCCCAGAGTTATACAGGGTGGCAGTTCCAGCATTAGCTCATTTTCTACCATTATGTAGTTTCCCACAGCACACACCCTTTCCTCTATTTTGGGATATCCCTAAACAGTGTAAATTGTATCCATGAGATGCCTAGTGAAACCATTTGTTCGCTTGCTCATGCCCTTCTACAAAATCTCTTAGGAAAGACTGTAGGACACTAGTGAGCACCTCACAAAGTAGGCTTGCAGGATCCAGGATAGGTCTGATAAAGTCAGAATGATTATGGACATACAGGGTACGTCTTCACTACCCGCCGTATCGGCGGGTAGCAATCGATTTATCCTGGATCGATATATCGTGTCTCATTAAGACGCGATATATCGATCCCCGAACGCACTCACAGTCGACTCCGGAACTCCACCAGAGCGAGCAGCGGTAGCGCAATCGACGGGGGAGCCGCGGCCATCGATCCCGCACCGTCTGGACCCCAGGTAATTCGATCCAAGATACTTCGACTTCAGCTACGCTATTCGCATAGCTGAAGTTGCATATCTTGGATCGACCCCCCCCCCCCCAGTGTAGACCAGCCCACAGTATACCCTCGATATAACAAACCCCACAGGATCCAAGCCATTTGTTCATTATAGCAAGGGGGTGATTACACAAAGAGACCCATGACAGAGAGGGGAGGAGGAGCGGGGAAGACAGCTCCTCCAGCCCCACAACTGACAGCCCCCGACACAGCCCCATGGATGGAGGTGGGATCCAGGGACTGAGTTCATTATATCCAAAGATTTGGTATTATGAAGGGCATTAGAGACAGGGTGTACTGTAATAGAAACATGATAAATGTATATTGGATTCAGATGACCCCATGAAGTGCTCTCTCATTGCAGCCTATCCTCTATGCTGTAGATAGAAGAGGGCTCAAACTTAAGCCAATTCACAGTCACAAGTTCCAGATGCCTTGCAGAATAAACTGCAGCAGATTGCAGCTGCCCTAGTTTTTTCTTTGCCCCCAGAGATAACAGGTCACCCCTTGCCTGCTGCATCTTGATATAAGCTTGTGAAGGTGATTTCTGGCTGCACTGTATAATTCCATGGGCCCAGTCCTTCTTACTGGTCAACACAGCTAGTGGAACAGGAAAATTTCCCTAGGAAAGGAACTTTGGCCTAATAAGGCTTTGTTCCCTGGGTTAAAAATCAATAAATAAGAATGAACCAAAACATTACATCACATCCCAAAATATTTTGGGATTATTTTTAATTCCCTATAAGATGCAAGAATAGCTCTGACAAAAGCTGCTAATCTTCACTCGATTTCAGCATTGAAGAACCCCAAGTCACCAAAGGGGTAATTTGAAGACTTTGTAGCCCTTGCTGGATAAGGGAGTGAGAGACAAGAATGTTCCCGAGTTGCAAACCTGCACAAGGGCTGCTAATTAGACACGCAGAATGATTTGTTGACAAACTCCAGTCCTCTACAAAGGATAGGATGGTGCCAACGGAATGTCTGGATGCTGCTGCCCTTCATGCCCACACACCAGCAGGGCCCATCTCTCCTCACCAATTCCCCCCATAGCCTTATCCCAAGCCCTCCGTCCTCCACTTATCAGCATCTCTCCATCCTCAGCCCCCTCAAACTAACCATCCCACTAAAAACTTTTCCTCCTTCTTGATCCCTTTGTCAGATGTATCATAGGGCACACCAGCCTGTCCTTCTGCAAAAGTTCCCCTGCATCCAGCTGTCCACCCATCCCCTCCCCAGGTAGCTGGGTGTCCTCCCGATCCCCAACATCCCCTCGCCCTCCCCAGCCAAGTTCTTTGCTCTTGGATCAACTCATTCCCTCATATGGCATCTCCCGTATTACCTTCACCAAGGCCCTGTAACCCCCATACCAGCTTTCCCCTCTCCTCACCCCAGCCCTCCCCCATCCTTCTCCCCCTTATTTCTTCTCTTCCCCATCCCATCCCTTCCCCCCCACCTTCCTCCACCCTCACCCCCCAGCTTACCCTCTCCCCACACCCCACCCTCCTCTTCACCCCCCCAGCCTACCCTCTCCCCTCACTCCATCCCTTCCTCTGCCCCTCTCCTCCTCCTCGCCCCCAGCCTACCCCCTCCCCATCCCTTCCCCCATACTTGCCCACCCAGCCCCTCCCCGCCCCCTGTACCTGCAGCACCCGCTGGCAGAAGCTGCGCACGGAGCGCAGCGAGGCCAGGTCCAGCTCCCTGATCACCAGCTCCCCGCCCTCCGCCTGGGCGCCCAGCTCGGCGCGGATCTCGCGGGCCGCCTGCTCGGCCCGGCCGCGGTCCCGGCAGCCCATGATCACCCGGGCCTGCATCCGCAGCAGCTCGGCCGCCGTGGCCCGGCCCAGCCCGCTGTTCGCGCCCGTGACGATCACCGTCTTGCCCCGCATCAGCGCGGCAGCCGCGCCCCGCGAAGCCCGGCCGGCCCCGGTCAGGTAGCGGCGGGCGATCAGCAGCAGCCCCCCGCCCAACACCGCGGCCAGCAGCGCCGCAGCGGCCATAGCCCAGCGCTCTGGGCCAGCAAGGGCCGAACGACACCCGCCCCGGCGTTTTTCCCAGGGCGCAGCCGGCGCTAGACCGCCGCCGGATGCCGAGCGCCGCGTACGGGTGTTTAGATACCGATTGGCCAGCGCGGTCCCCTTCGCTTTGCATTCTGGGACTCGTAGTTTCATCCGCCTCCCCTGCGCGGAGCTCTTGGGTTGGGTTAGCTCCGAGCTGAGGTACGGCGATGTCCCGCCACAACCGCGCTAGCTGTGCTGTGAGCTACGCAGCCCTTCCCCCGCGCAGGGCTGCCCCTGAGCTGCTGGCACCCCAGACAGAGACGCAAACGCGTTTGAGCAGATAAAAGTGTCTCCTTCAGCCACCACCCTTTTCTTGGTCAAACTGGGACTGAGTCCAATATAGGGTGACCAGATGTCCCAATTTTATAGGGGTAGTCCTGATTTTGGGAGCTTAGTCTTATATAGGCACCTATTACTCCCCACTCCCTGTCCCGATTTTTTACACTTGCTATCTGGTCACCCAAAGACCGATAGACTGAAAAAAGTCAAAGCTCCCATGACAAAAGGGAGAACTCTGTCCTGAAATCAACAGGGTAGCGTTCAGGGAAGACAGCAGGTGCAAAGTACTACAATGAAAAATCGGATACACAACGACAAATGGGGTGACGTTGGAGAAAGTCCAGAGATTAATGGTCTAGAAAACAGGACCTATGAGGGAAGATTGGAAAAAATGGGTTCAGTCTCGAGAAGAGAAAGACTGAGGGGGGATTCGATAACAGTTTTCAAGTATATAAAAGGTTGTTACAAGGAAGAGGATGAAAAATGGTTCTTTTTAACTTGTAAAGATAGGACAAGATGCAATGGGCTTAAACTACAGCAAGGGGAAGGGGATTCTGTTGGATATTAGGAAAAAAACTTCCTAACTGTCAGGGTAGTTAAGCACTGGAACCAATTGCCTAGGGCTGTTGTGGGTTCTCTGTCACTGGAGATTTTTAAAAACAGGTTAGACAAACACCTGTTAGGAATGGTCTAGTTATTACACAGTCCTGCCTTGAGTGCAGGGGACTGGACTAGATGAGGTCCCTTCTAATCCTACACTTCTGTGATTCTATGAAAATGGCAAAACACTGGCAGTAATACTGTAGAACAGGATCTGAGGGTTATAGTTGATCACAAATTAAATATAGCTGACAATGTGATGCAGTTGCAAAAAAGACAGATATTCTAGGTTATGTGAACAGGAGTTCTCATTTCAAAGAGAGGTAATTGTCTCACTGTACTCAGCACTCATGAGGCCTCAGCTGGAGTACGGTGTCCAGTTCAGGGCACCCCTTCAGCTACAAGGAAATATTTTTTAAAAAGGAAAAAAAGGCATGTTTAGTCTTGAGAAAAGAAGATTGAGGGGGAACTTGATAATAGTTTTCAGATACATTAAGAGCTGTTATAAAGTCAAGAGGCTGGGGATCAGTTGTTGTCCATGTCCACTGAAGATAGGACAAAAAGTAATGGGCTTAATCAGTAAGGTAGATTTAGGCTAGATATTATGAAAAACTTTCTAACTAAAAGGACAGTTAAGTATTGGAATAGGTTTTTGAGGAAGGTTATGGAATCTCCATCACTGGAGGTTTTCAACAGGTTAGACAAACTTTGGTCAGGAATGGCTTAGCACAGGGGGCTGGACTAGATGACCTTGGTCCCTTCCAGCCCCACGTATCTACAATCCTGTTAAGTCATACTCAGTTTTTACGCAGATCTGAGCTACTGAATTATATTGCTTAACATATTCTTCATTAGAAAACATGGCTGAATGCATTTTTTACATTTTTTATTAATGACTGGTTATGGGTGAATTTATTACATAGAACTAATAAAGAAAAGATCACAGATGCACTTATGGACATTGATTCAGCTATGTATAGACTAATCTTGAATACTGAAAGCTTCTGACAAGGTTTGCTTCCTTATCTTTAAGCAGCAGTCCTTTTCTTTTGTTTAGGTTTCCCAATGCAAACCCTGGGCCAATCTAGAGACAAAAGCATGAAGGTTAGTACTATGAAAGCAAAAATGGGAGACAGAAGATACACCATAGTGAACCTATAAATGGCTCAATTTCAAATCAATTTTCTATTGAAATATTTCTCAAGGTATCCAAAATATTTAATGTCAGGTGACTTTGAATTATCCACCCAATGAAACAAATTGGGTTACAAAAGCTATCTAAGGCCTCCAGAACCCTTCAAAAAATGAAAGATTTTAATAGACACATGGAGAAAACTCTATCTCTCAGTACAAAACTTAGAAGAGGGATATATATATCTACCATATACTGATTGCTGATTTAATCTAATACATGATAAAGACCATGCTATTATCTGACCAGGCTCCTGTTTTTCTTAATATTCATCTCCAGGGAGCACTAAAACATAGGACCTTGTTCTACCCTGACTTCATTGGGTAAATTGAGTTTGAGACCCCTGCTTTAAAGGGACCTGATTTTAAAAAGAGCTGAACATCCACTTTCCAAAAATCAAAGCTACTCAAGTTGAGCACCCACAGAAATCACTAGTCTACATTGAAAGAAAATGTTGCCTAGGATTTTTTGCTGAGGACAAATGTATTTCCCTGTTAAATTAGAAAATAGCATAATTGGTAAGACAAATAATTCAGCTACTAAAAGATGAGCATGATCAGTCAGGATCACAAAGCACATTAAATACTTACAACATTGAGAGGACAGCGAAGTAGTGTAATGGCCGAAAAACAAAACCAAAAAAACACCCCCAAACATAATAATACTTCACAATGATACCACTTGAGCATCTCAAAATATTTTACAAACATCTACCCACCTTAAAACCACAACTCCACTACAACAAAGGTAGATGTAGATAAACCTGTACATTCTGGCTCATCATTCATAGGTGCAATTCGGTGAAGTGTCAAACACCCTTATTTCCAATAGTTATTGCTGCTGGAATCTGAGGGAGCTCATCACCTCACAGGACTGAGCCTGAGGTAGCAAACATTTTGTATATAAACTCAAGTACAATTGTACAGAAGCTAGTAAACTAAGTAACAAAAGCACAATGCAACACACAGAATAACATACATTTTGAAGCGTCTGAGCTTTTCCTCCTTTCTGAAGGAAAATAAAAAGAAGGAAGTAAATCAAACTTGTCCTCCAAACCCAGCTCTCCCGTTAGCATAATAAAACCATCTCCACAAGAGGCGGTAGCTATGTCAGCGTCAGAAGCTCTCCTGTCAACATAGCGCTGTTCACACTGGTGCTTAGGTCGGTGTAACTAACATTACTCAGGGGTGTGGCTTAATCACACCTCTGACCAAGATAAGTTACTTATTGATAGTTAAGGCTAAGATTTAGTTAGGGGTATTTTTGGTAAAAGCCATAGACTGGTCATGGGCAATAAATAAAAATTCATGGCTCATGACCTGTCCATGACTTTTACCAAAAATACCCCTGACTAAATCTCTACTTCTGGGGCCCCGCTGCTGTGGGGAGCCCCTGCTGGGGGCAGGGGCGGCTCCAGGCACCAGCGCACCAAGCGCGTGCCTGGGGCGGCAAGCCGCGGGGGGCGGCCTGCTGATCGCCATGAGGGCGGCAGTCAGGCTGCCTTAGGCAGCATGCCTGCGGGAGGTCAGCCGGTCCCGCGGTTTCGGTGGCAATTCGGCGGCGGGTCGCCGAAGGCGCGGGACCAGCAGACCTCCGACAGGCATGCCGCTGAATACGCGTTACCAGCAGACCTCCCGCAGGTGTGCCGCCAAAAGCCGCCTGACTGCCATGCTTGGGGCAGCAAAATACATAGAGCCGCCCCTGGTTGGGGAGGGGGGATGCTGCTCCAGTGCGGGGGTTGACTGCCTCCTGGTTGCTGCTCCCAGGGACCACGCTCCGGATGGCCTCCGGGCGCCCCTGGGGCCACTGCTCCAGCTGCTTGGGCGGTCCCCAGGGCTCCCGCAGGAATGCTGCTCGGGTGTTCCCCGGAGCCAGCCACACCGGCTGCTGTTCTAGTGATCCCCAGAGCCAGCTGCCTGGGGTTGCCCGCTAGAGCAGCTGGCCCCCGGTCGCTCCAGCAGCAGCAGGTGCGTCTGGCCGTGGGGCACCAGAGTAGCTGGCCCCAGGGCCCTGAAGTCAGCCATACCAGCTGCTGCAGAAGTCATGGAGGTCACAGAAAGTCACCGAATCCATGACTTCCGTGACCTCTGCAGCCTTAGTGATAGTGTGTACACACCCTGAGTGTGTGTGTGTGAGAGAGAGAGAGGGAAAGCCAAGTCAGAGGGATGAGTTTTGCTTTTCATTCTAAGACCCACACCCAGAAAAGATGCTGACCTGGAACAATGCCTAAAGATACCCCAAACCTCATCTCTGCGTAATTATCCCAATCAGAATACACCAACCAAATTAATATTATCAAGAAGACAACAAAGTCAGCCACAGGCCTAAAATATATTTTCAGTCTAAATCCTTTCCAAGAAGCCCTGCCACAGTATATCAGAACAAAAGTTTGGCAAATCTGGTAAAGGTATTTGATTAAAAACTTAATCACCTCTATTCAGTCAGTTCTTCAGTGTATTATATTTGTACAATGGGTTGTTTCCATAATGAGAAATTTAGCCCCTGAGCAATGATCATTGTTTTCCAAAATTAAAGCTTTCCAGGAGGATTCAAGGTATCTAGCTCACTACCATCTCTCAGGACAGCTGGCTTGATGTATAGCTTAATAGCCACTTGTAATCCCAAGGCAATGCTTCAAACTGTTGCAGAACATTCCAAAAAATACATTATCATTTTACTTTTGATTCTGTAATGGACAATGGGCAAGTCTATCCCATTAGAGAAGATGCCAAACAAATACTTAGGATGTGCCCATTCAATCCCAGAGCTATACAAAACCAAACCAGATACCAGGATATTTTCTTTGCTTATATTAAAGAAAACTGTAAACACAGCATTTGCTAACTACAGAAAACTTAATCAGCAATCTTCAGACCTCATGGCTAGAATCACTGCGGATGGTATTTTTAAAAGTGGCCTCTGATTCTGTCTTCTTTTTTTTTTAAACACTCAACTTGAAATAAATTGAACCTGATTTTCAGAGATGCTGTACACTCCCACTCACCTCAGCTGAGTTGTGTGCACTCAGCACTTTAGATAATCAGCTGCCAAGGTG